CTTACAGGTATGAGGTGGCTCAGGTGTGCGACCACTTACAGGTATGAGGTGGCTCAGGTGTGCGACCACTTACAGGTATGAGGTGGCCGGACGGCAGGTTGAAGGCCTGAGCGATGGCGACCGCCATTTCATATTTAGTCATCTGCTCTTTCCCAGAGAAGTGAAAGACTCCTTTGATGGACGGGTCCTGACGGAAAAGCAGACGGCGGTGAGACGGGCAGAGTCCACCTGACGCTCACCTGTCTCTCTGACGCTCACCTGGCGCGCTCTCTCAGACAGCTTCCTGCAGACGGCAGCGACGTCTCGGGCGTCGGTGGGGAATCTCTGCAAGACGTGATCCAGCGTGCAGCTCTCCTCTGACGCCTCCTGAACCTTCAGGTACAACGAGGTCACCACGCTCTCTGTCACCGACTCCACCTCCCCAAACAGAACGGGCACCCGCAGTACCACCGCACCTGCAGGGTCAGGGGTCAAACAGGTGACTGAGGGGCAGGCGAGACACAGAAGACTCAGGTGACTGAGACGTACCTGGACAGTGGCGCAGCGCCTCCCTCTCCCCCTCCAGTTTGCTCCGCCCATAAACGTTGAGCGGGTTTGGACTGTCGTCCTCACCGTACGGAGGATTCCTGCCGTCAAACACGTAGTCGGTGCTGATGTAGAGGAAGAGCGCCCCGCAGGTGGCTGCACACACAGACGGTACCTGTTACCGAGGCGCGCTCACACAGAGCTGAAATCAAGGTGCGTGATGTGTGAGGGGGCGGGGCTCTGATGCGCACTACAGGAGCTCCACCCCCAAACCTTCTCGTGCCTCCACCTGTGTCTGGTGATGGTGTGGCGGCGTCACTGACCTGCCTCCTTGGCGAGTGTGCTCGTGGCGTGCACGTTCAGATTAACAGCTGCTTCCGTGTGTCTCTCCATAACATCTGGACGCCTCTCGGCCGCACAGTGGACGATCACATCAGGCTGAAACACACATTCAAAACAACTTTATGTAGTGACCTCAGCTGTACAGTAACAACGAGAGATGGACGATC